TTTCATTCAAAAGAAATGTAACTACGTCACCAGATTCAAAAGGCCAACTGCAAAAAACTACTAGTGTTCTAAGGAGGTTGAAAACCTGAAACTTATAGATCCTATGAGATTGAAGGCCAGAGTTAGGCTTCCTATCTTGCACTTTTCAACAAGAGAAAAATATCTACAATTATCTGTGTTATACTAGGCGAAACTGTGATACTGATATAAGCTACTTTCCTATACTTTCCTCATCGTGTTAGGGAAACATAATATCACTGTGTTGTGCATCGTTCTTGACAAAAGTTTCACATGCACTTAGTTTGTTGGTTAAATAACATAAAACTACTTCTCAACTTCAACAGTGTACAAGTTACAAGACCAAAAACAGTTCAATTGGCATTTTTCATTGTTCTTGTATATTACTCCCTTATTTCTGTGGGTGAATGCAACTCTCTTATGTGGTTACAAAGCAAATAATAAGCGTAAAAGCAATGTATCTTTTACAAAGGATTATGATTCACCAGGTTACACTCAAGCATGTCAAAGAGCATGGAGAGAAAGGCTAAAGATTGAATGCAGATTCATACCTTCACTCTCTTGACAAAAGCCATGGCTGGCTGGTCCAAATAAGCATCATCAATTTGAAGTGCCAAGGCATGACCAATAAAATCAATTGTATCATCTTCAAGTTCATATTTCCTGCATCAACAGTGTGAGCAAAAATACATATCTGAAGTTGCAATATGTTTTATGCTCAGAAGTTTGTTGGTAAAGCATTTAGTGAGATGAAACTCAAAAGCATTCTGCTTTGCTATACATCACTAAAATGTGTAAGAAGGGAAGACACAGCCTTATCCCTTAAAGTCAATCAACATGGGGAGGCTAGAAATCATTTTCCATTACTTCAACACCAAATTCGTTACAATATACATGCCTTCCTTTTCAGTTGGAAATCCCCTACCCCAAGTGTTCATCAAATGTTCAATTCGCACATCAATGTGAAAAGCACAGCCACTGGGTGTATGTAGGACCAGTTGATAAAAAAAGGTATCCTAATGGCAAAAGCAGTTATGAACCTTTTTCATTATGTTTGAAGACACAGAATGGTCAAAAACAACTCCTTTGATCTTATAGAATAAAAAATCAATGAGGTAGTACAATAAGAATGTTTTGCTTCCACATTGTTCCGTGACAATTACTTTGTAGCAATATATGATGTGGAAGTTAGTTGCATTTGATAGTTTAAAAAAAAGATGGTACTTTTTTTTTTTTTTTTGCTGCGGTAACTAAATTACCAAAGCAAAGCTTTGCAACGGGCAACTAAACCTACAGAGTCTTAAATTCCTATACTTCATCAAATGACCTGAAAATTTGTCACAGATAATGCAAAGAAAGTTGAAGATCAATGTACATTAAAATGTAGAGATGGTGCAATTCTTGCTAATGAGCTTAAGCCAGTAGCTAAAATCAAGAAAATAGCAAATAAGGATTGAAATTTACGAGATAAGTTCCCTTGCTGTGATTTTGTTCAAATCCATCCCTTCATGAGTTTTTGGATTACTCTCCTCAAAGTCTTGGACAAAAATAAAGAACTTCCGAAGTCTACGTTTCTCAAAGAGTCCCATCAGCGAAGACTTCAATGCTTCCACATCAGTTGCTGGCACTTTATAAATCTAAAGATCAAAAATGTTTTGACATCCAAGTTTAATTACTAGAATAAGACCTTTGTAAACAATCAGATAAGTGCTATGGCTAAACAAGCTGTTATGAGTTGCATACCTTTCCCTTGTTGTACACAAAGCTACCATCTACAGCTTTAAAGTTTAGATATTTGGTAACATTAGTATGGATGAGTACGCGAACAAGAGCTCCATTAGCCATCATGAACTACCAAAGGACACAGGAAGAACTTTCATCAGTTGCATGTCAAACAAGCAAAACATGGAAAACAACGCGGAAAATTGCCAGTAGCCAGTAGGACTGGGAAATCTACAATTGATGACATATTATTTCTGCTTCAACATGTCTTTCTCAAATCATGTAGGCCCTGTCTGCCTGATATTAAAAACTGAAATGCTTACAAAAATATTCAATATATGGACCCATCCTCAAATCTCAAGTTGTAGAATATTTCTCGTTGCTTTTGGCTTCAGTTGGGGGAAGGAAAAAGCTTTTGGAGGTCAAGATGTGTTTTGTTTTTCAGATTCTTCTCTTTGATCAATCAAAACCCTTTGCAGAATGAAGACAAACAGGGACAGCATATTGTTCGAAGCCTGAAGCTGTATTCATATATAAGAGAGTCGGTGGGACAATTGAACAGTGTATACCTTAGGAATCATATCAACATTGTACTCCTTGCTTGTGCCTAATTTTTCTGGAGGCTGTTCATCACCCCTAAAACGCTTCCAAAGCTATTAAACAGAAGAAGTTAGGGTACATCAGATGGATATTATATGTGCAGCAAGATCACAATTCAACTTGACATTGAAATATGGGAGCTAATATGAGAGACACTAGAGGCAGGCATACGAATTTCAACACAACTTCCATTTTACCTGATTCAAATTAAGGGAGCTGGACTCTCCTCCATAATAGTCATTTTTGTCCATGTGTAACACCTGTTTGGAATGTGCATAGCTAAAAATCAGAGATTACCATTTTCAGTGAAATGTAATGCTAAGGGGGTCAAAGCGTAATACTGAATTGAGAGTTATACCTTGAAGACCTCCTAAAACTACTGGCTAGCGCACTATTCTTAGCTTCTGGCTTGAGAATAGACATTCCATTTGCAGTTTTTGAAGCAACTTAATACAGAAAAGACCCTTTTTTTATTTTCTCCCATGCTAAAGTATGGGAAAAGAACATTCTCCAGAACATGTATCCTTGAACTACATAAAATGAGATGTTTATGGAAATAAAAAGTTTCATTCTTGATTAACCGCCTTTATTCCCACCCCAGAAGGAAGAAGAGGAGGAAATTTGCGTTTCCCTTTAATATATCATTGGCACAATTAAGGCCTTACTCAAACATGCATAAACAAATAATACTTCTAAACTTACTGGAAAATCACCTCATCTTTTCTTACAGAAGAGTAGAAGACCAAAATGGGACAACAAATAATGTAAGCAATGGTGTAAATCATCCGAAAATATTAAGATCTGACAGATTTATAGATTAAAAAGATCACGAAATAGAGATTCAATCCTAGAACCATCTAAAAATGCGTCCAACATATATTTTTGTCCTGACAGTTCTATTTTGGCTGTATAACGCATTAATTAGTGAGCAACCAGAACTAGAACTGGCATGCATTGTCTTGGGTAAATTATAGACGATGTTTGTCCTAAGAGGGAGTAGTAATGCACGTACTTTGAGCCCATCAACAGAGAGAAGTCCACTAAGAATGCATTCTTTGAGGCCGGTGCCCAGAACAATCACATCATACTCTTCGTCCATCTTGATTGATCAGAGGAAAGTTGATTTCGGATCAATTACTAATGGCAAGATTAAAAGACTAATGCAGGAGGGAGATGGATCAAGAGAGACAGGAATGAGGGGATTGTTAGTGTGAGAAAGCTGAAAAGATGGGGTGAAATGTCGTAGAGAAGAATAATGGTAGTAATAAGTAACGAAGAGCGCGGGAGTACTGATCGAGAGGGAGAGATGGAACGGGTCTTTAGCTGGAGCCTAACTAGAATGCAGAGTATTCATCTGCTGGTCTGCCACTGATTTCCCGTACTTGCACCTTCATGCAGACATGGCCACGTTTCAAGTTTGAACCGGTACTTAACCGGAGATTTTGCCCAAACCGAAACTAAACCGAGCAACCGGAATCGGGTTCAGAAGGCAAAAAAAGACTTCGATTCAGATGCATTAAAAATCAAATCCAAAATTGAATCCGATGGTTCTGAATCGATTTAAGCCGTGCACCAAAAAAATATAAAAAAGAAAGGATTGGTTTGATGAGAAAAGTCAAAACATTTTTCATTTTTTATAGAAATTTTATTAGCTTTTCCTTTCCTTGTCAGCTTATAATGCAATAAAGCTCTTATTTTGCTTTTATATTCATTTTCTTTAGTTTTTTCTGGCTGTAAAATTATTATCATATTTTCTTCTAATCATCTTTATAGCCATAGAGCCATTAAATATAATTATCAGAAGAATCCACAACACCAATCACAAGGAGTCAGAATAAGAGATCTTAAAACTGTAACTAATAATCCTAGAAGCCAGGCCGGTCAAAGGAATTGGCACTGTGACCATTCCTGCCTTTTCGCTACAAGTCACCACTTCATTTGATAGATGTTCGGACAACCAAGTATACATATTGACACTTTTCAATTGTTTCTGTTGTTAGAAGTTGATATCATATTGAATTTTGATTAGAAAATTGGAAGTGTGTTCTTATTTAAACAATTCTGAAAGCCAATATAGTAAGAAATCTTTTTTTTTTTTTAAAGAAATAGTATATAATTATTTGAACCAAAATTATCTCACAAAATAGGAAACCACTGTTACACACGTAAGTCAATCGAAGGATCGAGTTAAGTGATAAGACGAAAGAAATTGTAAATAAGAGACCCTGAATCCGAGAAATTTTTCATTAAGCTGCGTACTCTCTCGAAAAAAAAAATCATTGAATTAAGCATTTCTCTACACTATTGACTCTCGTTAAAAAAAAAAAAAAAAAAAAATCTGCTAAGTTACACGATGAAGTGCTTAGCGAGCTTTCAAACGATGCATTACAACAGGAGGAGCATTCGTGTTTTACGATTATTGTGATGGACGAACCAGTAACTTTCCTTTTATCTATAAATAAACAAACTTTTCTTTTTAATACTCATCCTCCTTTATTTCTTCGTGGTAATTAAGTGCAAATGTAAAAACATGTACTTTTCTTTCATTAATCACGCTGTCAGAAAACTATTTAAGCTGCAAAGCAATTCAACATAAATTACATCCCTCATCTGTATCTATATAAATATATACACACACACACACACACATAATCTGGAAATGTTTAATAGAGCCATTTTTATTCGTCAAAGAAAATTTCAGAGCATGGAGGCCTCTACGTACTCAGAGAACCGCATGCCTGACATACATGCATGTTATTTTTTTTAAAAAAATAATGCAACATAAACTACAATTTCTGGGCATCATAGAGCCAGCTATGCTCAAATTATATATTCGATCTTCTGCGACCGCAATCTCATCCTCCCTGCAATTCAGTTGGGACATGGTAAGCTGCAAAAATTCAACCCCAAGTTAAACAGGTTTCTCTGTGAAATGCTTGCCAAGGTACTTACATGCATGCTAGCGCTGTTTTATGCAACCGCAAACACCTATTCATACAACGTATCATTAACGCCCAACAAACAACAATTCTCCAAACCTCCCCTTTTTTCCACATACAATAATTTGTGCATTCCAATTTGTCTGACTCTAATCTCACAACATAGCTAGCAGTTGCCATGCTACTAAAGAAAAACTTCAATCCAGGAGCATTAAAAAGAGTGCCTTGTGAAAGCTTACTAGCTGTTTCACTTTTCTTTTCACGTCATTGCTAGACGATCACATGGCCTTGAATCATGCATTCTGAAAATGAAATCTTACTTTAGTTTCGTTTTGTTCTTCTTGCTTAAATACTAGCAATCTGTTGTGACAAAATCACACAGAATGAGATGCCCCCCATTTAGCTGATATGCAGCATGTCATCCAGATACAAGATCCAAATGTTGGATGGATTTCACATATTATATTCCACATATGTGATTCGTTTTATTCTTGTAACAAATTATCCGATCCATATTTGACTTGAAACAAACATACCCCAGCTGGAGAAATGTGTCCGAATTGTTGAGGTCCCGAGGACAACTTCCGGCTTGGTCGCTTAAGCGGGTCACTGATTCGGATGAAATCCCTTGTTCCAGCAGAGGTGTTTCGTCTTCCGATGTGCCTGCTACCTGCAATTATCAGTCAGAAAAGCAAAGATTGCAGCATGCTCATGCAGAGGGGCGAAACAAAGAAATAAAGGAAAAGGGAAACTTTCACGTCACGCACTTTTTGTCTCAACTTTGCATTCTCTTCCTTTAATAATGCTTCCTACAATTCATTTTGCAAAGATAAGTGAGCAACCAAGAACACACATTTCAATGCAGTCAACCAAATTATATTCCATTGGAATCTTAAGTAAATTGCTCCTACAGCATTATTGTCGGTTACAGATGATCTTCAAAACTATGAAAGCCCAATAACACTTTTTTATCTCCAGATTCTCAAATTGAAGATTTCCCATATTGTTATGCGATTAAATGCAGAATAACAGAAAATGATTGATAGATAACCAAATAGAAACAGCTGGTGAGGGTAATTTGTCACCCGCCTTTTTCTTGAGAATACCAATTTCTTTCATGAATTTGTCACCCTGAAATCCAAAAAACATAGTACATCAACACTATGCAACAATTGAAAGACCTTGAAAGAAGACAAAACATGACAAGAACCTTGGTTTTGGCAATACGACTTAACCCTGCTTCAACCAACTTTTCGAGTTTAACCAAGTCTTCCATGCTCAGTCCTACTAGCTCTTCACCTTTGAGATGTCTGTTACACGTGGGATCGCATCATAAGTATCACAAAACAACGAACCATCCTCTACAAGGTATCTGATGGCAGAATATTGTACCTCAGTTCTGCGGTTTTCTCCTTGATTTCCTCAGCAAGCATGGCATGGGTATGATTCTCCCGCTAACAAAGGAAACATAGATGTCCTTTCCAATTAGAATTAAAGCAAAAATATATGCAGCTGAGAAGAGAATTATGATAATTATGCTATCATATCTCATTTGTTTCTCTCCTTCGCTTGTATTTTCTCAACTCCTTTTTAGTTGGTTTTCATTTAATTTTCACATATTATTAGCAGTTAAAACTGAGTTATGTTCAATTAGAGATGGCAGAATTCTTATATGTCTTTACTCGAAGCTATTTAACATTATTGGAAAAACCAAGAACTTCTGTTGTTGTTTGTAGATTTCCAGAGCGCTCTTGAAAATCTTACGAGAGGCTAATTTCTAGACAAAAATACTAGAGAACTTAATACCTGCGTGTGATGAGGTGGATGCTTGTCTTGCCTCCCAATGTCCTCGGAACATAGGCGGTGCCTTTCAATAACTTGCATCATACTTCAGAAGAGAAAAAATAAGCTTATAATGAGTTCTGGGCACTAAGCTTAAACTAACAATAAGAATGAAATAATTCCTTATGATAGGTTATAATATAATTAAACTACCAAATTTCAAAAAAACTAGACGCGTAGCTTTGCATCAGTTTAGCATGTTCAGTTTCATTTTTAAAATACTAAATCACCAACTTACAAGGAAATAAAAAGAGACATAACTGGAACTTAATTTCCTTGTCAACTTTATGCAATAGTTCATCCTCTTTTTTGTCAATAAATTGGAATACTAGCCATGTTAGGTATGCCAAAGTCTGTGAATTAACTGACACCGCTCCCCAAACATTGAGAAAGATCAACAAAAGTGTGCAAACTTAGACAAAGTTAAAGTAAATGCAAACATGTCATCAGGTTGTTGTATATGTCTCGTGATGCTTTACAAGAAGCCTACAAAAAGGGTCAAAGAGTCATATCTAGGAGGTTGATGTTATACGAATCTTGATATTTATCACCAGCAATGATGTATCGCCTCTCTTTATAGAGTACAACCTTGCAATCTGCATCCAGCTGGTTTTCGTAAATATTTCCCATACAATGAAAGGCAGTAATACATCATCAAGGTGACATATGGGTTTTTCTCTTCTACCAATGTTGATTATATTCTAGTTTGGCTAACGGGTAACCAATAACCACCCATTAAGAGAGAGATCAAGTTTTAATTTTTTTAAAAAGATGTATTAATTTGAGAAAGTATCGAAATATAGGGTATGCAATAATTATAATTGTGTGTATTCATATAGTAAGTTAAGTATAATTTAGATACTTTTCACAGCTTTTGTTAGTGATAAAGTTCCATCACTTTTGCCTGAAATTAAAAAAATTCCACAGCTTCACTCGTGAAGTTAAAAAACTTAATGAGAAGAATAAAAACATGAATGGAATTGTACAATTTGATACTTTGAGAATCCAGAAAAGGAGTTGTACAATTTGTTAGCTTTATGGTCGGTTTCTCATAGAAACATATTCATCTTCCCATATATTGGATTACACTTGAAGTCTAGACAATTGACATATAAGAGTTAGACATTTCAGGATGAGTTAGATTTATTGAAATAACATCTCCTTTTGTCTTCCAGATGACACCAAAAAAAAAAAAAAATTTGCTTTTCTTTTGAGGGGTTTGTAAGTTCTTCCCTTTCCCTCCCTCCAAAAAAAAATGGAAAAAAATTAAGCTGGAGAATGAGGAAGGAAAGAATTGAACCTAAAACCTCTAATTTTTGCAATTTCAACCTTAGTCACTCCTTCTCAACCAGGTAAAAGGTGTGTTTTTAAATATCATGTTAATTATTAGTCCAAAGTTCATTGTAAGTTGAGCTTCATAGAGCCATATAAATATGCCCAAAAAATGTCTTTTGACAAAGCTAAGAAAATAGTTTTAAATAAATTAGAATTTAGTATCACATTTAAAGGTCGTCCATAATCTATTTCTCTGAGTCCCAATTTTGAATCATAAGTTGAAACTCGATAACTTTGCCTAGATCTTGAGATGAAACATGATACCCTAGTTATGAATCATAAGTTTAAATTCAATACGTTATTCTACATAACCAAACTCTCTAATAAGATAAACTTTATGGTCAAATGCATATATGCTTGCATATACTTGCTAAGGAAAAACAAAGTTTAAAAGAAAAGAAGGGAAATAGAAGCTAAAAATGTTTGGTGCAACCAATAGTCTAACACTATAAATACTATAGTACAAAAACTACATATTTTCCGATTATTTGTCACCAAAACATAAATTTTGTCGAATAGGTTTCTAGGAGATGTGCTCACGATCAAGAATGAACCCCCTCCAAAAAAAAAAGAAAAAGAAAAAAGACAAAAGTAGCTAATCACTATAGTGCACATTTAAAAATTTCATTTCCTAATCCAGAAATGACTAGAACTAGCGTGCTTTAATGTGCATATTTACTGACTTCTTCAACAATACAAACTAGCACCAGAAACAATAGTTTACCTGATTTTTCACTATCCACTCTATTCATCGATTTTGTCACTGATTTCATTTCTTGGTGCTTTATAACGCTTAGAATCTTTGTCCAGACGCCGGACATACAAAGTCATTGTATGCATGGGCCTGTGTTAACCCTATTCTTTTCACCCTTTCTTGAACTTCTTATATATTGAACTACCAATTAATTTCATTTTACACCATTCAATTATATTTAAATTCTCTCGTTGATCCCTAATATTAAAGTGAAATGTTTTAGATCTTAAAGTATAAAATGTGTTTCACTTTAGTACTTGAAATATTAAACTTGTCCCACTTTAGTTCCCAAAACATAAAATTTGTCTCATTCTAATCCCTAAAATATAAAATTTATCTCCCTTCCGTCAATGATTTCATTTAAGTGAGACAAATTTTATATTGTATAGATTTAAAGTGTCCCATTTTAAAATTGAATGACCAAAGTGAAAATGCAAATATAGTTAAAGAGTATAAAGTAGAATTAACCCTTAAACTACACATACAGCATGAGACTTTGCTTCTAAATGCTGAACTACATGTACAGAATCATATTTTTCTTATTCTCTTTCCTTTTCTTCTTCTTCTTGTTCTTCCTTTTTTTTTTTGTGAAGCAAAAACTTAAAATATACAAATTAGTGTCCAGTACACTATGCACGCTTGAAGATAATCAGACTATCATGTAAGTTCTCTATCTATATATCCTCTTCAGAAGCATTCTTATAGATTTCATTTTTGCATCACGGAGTTTGTAATCCAGTACTCATGGTAATAAGTATTCTAGCAACCTAACGAAAAGGAAGGAGTTAGTTAAAAGCTTAGAAGAGCCATGGATCCTCATTAATGACATAGGTTCAAGAACTCTTGATGATCTTTTTTACTAGGAAAAGATGGGAAAGAAGTTGCATGTTATTCTCCTCCATTTTGTTTGCCTTCGTTTTCCACAAGTCCGTTTAGTTATGACAGTGTGTAACATGTGACTTACATGCCAATCCATCAAGTTTTGGATATTTAAGCTTTATAACCTATGTATCCCGAGCACGAATCATTCAATAGATTCGTGAAGGGCAACACTTCCGTAACTATCCTAATCGTTTTCCTTTAGTTTTGGATAGCATTTGCATTTGTTAGCAAAGGTAGAGATGGACCTTAAATTCCCATCGTCAAGATTAATAGAAATTGTTATTCTAAGATGAAATATGATAGTTGAGCTTGCTTTCTGTTTTTTATATGCTCGGTCCTATATTTCAAGACAAGAAAACAAGGGTTAGTAGGTGCCAAACAAGGTCCTTATAAGGACCATCGGAAATTACAATCACATCTAGATATGTCTAGAGTTTTTAACGAATCAAATCAAGACAAATGTTGTTTGCTACACTAACTTAAAGTATAGTTTGAATTCGATTCTTTAATTTATGCATATATGAATGAGTTTGACTTGTTATATTGAATTCAAGTTCAGCAATTTAAACTTAACGAGTCAAACGAAAATTTGAGTAATACATAGTTTAGAATGTAAACATGTTAGTTTTTTTGAGAAAATAAATAACACTAATTTTATATATACTTATTTTTTAGAGTAAAACACAAGGTATATATAAGTGTTCATATTTACATTTCCTTATTTTTCAAATTATGTTTGTGTTTGTTCCTAATTTTTATTTGAACTCAATTTGTTCTTTATACAATCAAACATTTCTCAAACTCGAATGAGCCAAAATGAGTCAGCCACGAACATGTTCGACATGTCAATGAGCAATCTAGGTCTCAGCCACTAAATTCAGAAACTGATCTATGAATTTTACATACGCTTAAATCGAAGCTAAAATGTGTCTAAGGTAAAGAACTATGTCCAAACCGAAATGAATTCAAATACTACTTAATAGCTATCTGCGTGTATTATTATACAGATGAGATACGGGTTTCTTACGCAAAGTTCAAAACAAATATTACTAAAAAAAAAGAAAAATCAATTTAGTACAACCGACATATTCGCTATCAAGAGTTCATTACTAGTTTTTATTTACCTATCGATGACTCAAAGAGTAGAGCTTCAATGGAACATTGATGATGGAACTAGGGAATCAAATGTGACAAGTTGAACTTCATGTCCAGTCGATAATTTTGTCTAATTTTATAGCCTCTGACATGCCGCATATATACATATATACACATATATATGTATATACATCTATGCACACACACATATATATACATATATTGACATATATATATATACATGTATACACATGTATGCATGTCCCTAGTACTAGATGCGAATCTTCTCTTTCGCACAATTTGCACACAGAACCCCAATGTATCGGAAGATTCTGAGAACCGGCTAACTATGAAACCTACATGTATGTGTTATATATAAATATATATATATATATATATATATTCTTCTGATCATTATCCAACCAGGTCAATGACAACACTTTTCGTTGACTGCTTCCCATATTGTTTTCTACCCATCTCCCACATGCAGCAGACCAGACCATCCTAAAAAATAGTTCGAATGCTCGATCCCCTCTCCCAGTGAATTCTTGCTAGCAATTTGGTTCATATGATTCATATTGAAGTTGCTTAGAAGTGGAAAAGTAACCTCAAGAACTGAAAATTTTTGGGTTATTTACAAACTATTTATAAAGTACTAGAAGGAAATGGTAACAAGTTGGAGAAAGGTGAGAAGTTATGAGGAGGAGAAAGGAAAAAGACCTTGAGCTACAATACTCGAAGAGCTTGCCTGTTGCTGAGAAGACTATGAGGGCTATCTCAGCATCACAAAGTGTGGAGAGCTCCTGAGCTTTCTTGAAAAGCCCTCTTCTTCTCTTTGAAAAAGTCACTTGTCTAGCTGTCAAGTTATCAATCCTCTTGATCTGAATTCTTTGCCTGACCATTTTTCTCGACTCAGATGAAAGATCGGACGTCAACCCTGCACATAAAAAAGCCATCAGTGGTGAGTAGTAGCTAGTACAAACTGTTAAGAAGTACTCAACAAGAAGAGAGGAGGAAGACGGGAAAAAAGACACGTACTAGTCCGATCACCTATGGGTTTCCGGCTGCATAAATGTCAGTCAAAATAGAGAAAGAGAAAATCTTGGAAGTACAAAACAGTATCTTCAACCAATCCCCCCTTCTCACTAAGATCAACAGAAATACACTCTATTTTTATCAAGTACAAGTTGTTGATGAAATCATGCGGATTCGAATCGAGGAAGATGCCAAATAGACTAAAAACCAATTTTAATTAGATTAGGCAGGAAGGAAGGAAAAAAAACCAACCTGCAGAAAGAATGCCAATCAAGATCAACCCCAAAGCTTCCTCCTAGGAAGAGATAAGAGATTAGAGAGAAAAAGGAGGATGAGAGGAGGAGGAGCAGCAGGAATATGAGAAGACCAACTAGATTTGGAATAAAGGCCAAGAAAGCATGAAAAAGACCCAAAATGTTCCAAATTACAGAAGTGGAAACATGAAAGCTATGGGGATAAAAAAATTCTCCTTGAAATTACCTTTCTAGGATATTGGTTGTGGTGCTTTTGGAGGATCCACACCACCAGATACAGCTCCACTAATGGCGGACAGAGTGAGAGAAGACAAGAAGAGAGAACTAGTACAAGTAAAACTAAATATGATGAGGAATGGAGTACTGCCTTCTACTTTCTTTTTTTTCCTTGTCAATCTGATGTCTGAAGCTTAACTCAACTGGACAGACCCTTGAGAGGATTCCGGTATTCCACTTTTGGCCAAACAAACTGTCAATTTTATCTATTTTTTAATGTAATTTTTCCAGGATGTTGGAGTCAAAGTCGTCTGCTAAAAGAACCATTCTTTATTTGGAGGTCTACCATCAATACTAATTTTGTTGGAGTCAAGAAAAAATGTTTTATAGAGAAAAAAAAATGGAATAAAGCTATTGATGTATTTCTTGTTTGCAAGCGTACCTTTTATAAATAATTAAGATGTATGCTGTATCATTTTCAAGATACAAGATTATTTTTTGTGAAACTATATGCACAAGCAATAATGCAATTCTAAGTCACCAACAGAATATAAAAAAAAAAAAAAAAAAAAACAGAAAGTATGAGAAGTGAGGTCAAGAACTTTAGCTAAGTTGTTACCCAAATCGAGAGCATATAGCAACCCTCACCGTACTTTTATACAATATAAAATAAAATAATAAAGAAATAATTCAGATCTTACAAATTATATTTCATTCTTTCAGAAAAAATGCCCATTTTATTGACCTTTTGAAATCAAATCGTTGGTGAATGCTTTTCTTGACGTCTTACTATTCATTGTACAACAATTTAAAGTCACAGTTATGGCATGTAATAGACTTTACAAAAACAATCTGAGAAGAGTTTATATTCCCGTGTTTCCTTTGGGCTCTCATTAAAAGTGTAGTTGTTTCAAAAAAAAATACGAGAATGGAATGCAAGAGTGCAATAAATTGTATTTAAATGATAACTTTGATGCGAAAATTGAAATATGAATTGCGTGGAGAGAGTCGTGGCCAAGGGCATCGTTTGTCTCAAAGCTAAATGATACACATTTACCTCAAATATGCCTTAAATATGTTCAAAATTCAATCCTATGGTCTCCATACATGTTTACCTATTCCTAAAAAACCTTGGACCGCTATTTTTATGAACTTTATTCTGATCTAAGAGGAGAAATGATAGTAATTTTGTTGTGGTTGATAGATTTTTCATAATGACACATTTTATTCATTGCCATAAAATAGATCATGCATCTCATGTTGCTAATTTGTTCTTCAAAGAAATCATTGATTTGCATCGTATGCCAATGACAATTGTGTTTGAAAAAAAATAAATGATGAAGGCAAAGGTCAAGAGCACGTGGAACAAGTTAAAGTTCCAATTGGACCAGTCGCAAGAGCTCGAACGAAGAGGTTGCGTGATGAGCTTTCAAAGACTGGTTCGTGGTGGTGTTCAAAGTTAAGAAATCATCCCAAAAGTCATTGAAGGTCTTGAGAATAAAATATTGGAAACTTGTTCATCCTGTTCAAGTAGGGGAAGAGTCAGATGAAGCAAACCCTAGTTATATGCATTAAGTTACTAAATTGTTAAACACTAAATCTGATATATTTAAATGCAAATCACATTATGATAAATGAATAAATTATCACTTATTATTTGGAGTAAATTTGATTTATAAAATTTAATGTCACTTAATTAATTCATATATTCTATTTTTTTAGTTATGAAACACTTTTAAATATGTTAAAATTTAAGTTCATTAAATTTAAAGGTGTGTTTCATAAAACTAAAATCTAAAATTTGAAACCGTTAAGTGACTAAATTGTTACGTACTAAATACGATACATTTGAGTACATATCACTTTAAGTGATATGTGAATAACTTATTACTTTTTTTTGAGTAAATTTTGTCTAGAAAATTCAGTGTCATTTAATTAATTCAAAATTTTTATTTTTTTTTGTTAATTAACATGTTAAGATCTTTAAATTTAAGTACTGAATTGGGTTATTAAATAAAGTCTAAGTACTAAATTCGGTTATCAAACACGACATTAGTGCATGTATTTATATGATAACTTAGATGCGATTCTAATGTATTAAAGATAGAATTTATAAAAAAAAATCCTTACGAAAAAACTTCATATAAGTGATGGAAAGAATCCGTTGCTTAATTGAGGATTTTTTTTTCAATAGGCGCTCATTAGACACCTCTGAGTTTAAATTCAATTTAGCAGTTAGATGCACATGTTTCATTTATGATCCCTTTGACTTAGCCACTTTTTCAATTTATTTTCACCTACCCAAAAAGTTGATAGCCACTCGTAACCCTCACCTATTTAGCAACTAAATCCCTTAACTAATACTCCACTTAAGCACTTTGTGAGGGTGGTGAGATATTTAAAAAGGCAGTTCGAGATGTCCTTTTTAGAAAAATAAATAAATAGAGAAACATGAATGGTTAAGTGATGGTGGTGGTGCCATGCCATCCGTACACTGCAAAAGCTGGAGCATGTCGTGTCACAGGATTCATGGCAGCACCCTGAAGGAGACATACTGCTGTGTTATTATTATTTTTTTTTGTCGATACAGACGTGTCCAGATCAATTCTTACGGGGCCTAACTAATCCCTTGCGGCTTGGGGCCGGCGCCCTAACCCGATCCGAACATGTTAAGTACGTAGAGGAATCCAGCGGAGCGGAGACTCGAACTTGTGACCTCAAGATTCACTGATGAGAGGCGCTGCCGCTGGACCATTCATGCGGGCGACATATTGTTGTGTTATTAATATGGTTTTTTTTATAGAATTAAATTATAATACCCCTCAGGCATTGCTTGCCACCATTTGTTGACACTTGTACGACCCAGTAAACTAATTACAGCGCAACGGATCCTTTATACCACACTCTGTCTCACATCCTATCCCATTCCTTCTAATCTTGTCAAGTGTCCCTTTATAAACCAAATTCTGAAGCAATCAACTCGGACCATATTTAATTAGTTAATCGATTAATCGGGCAAAAAAACTTAATCTCTGTAACCGGTTATCAACTAAAATAAAAATTCAATCATAAAATTAGAGATTAAACAAGGGGAAAAAAACCACGAAACCTGAGTCGTCATCTCCACCATACCCTTCGAAACAAAAAGAATCAGATATCACTCCTTCTCAAAAGCATCTTTTGGGTGAAACTCATCATCTCATCAGCGTGTTTCGGGAATGGCAATTGAATGACACTCACCACCTGTTCATTGAGAAATTCAAATTCATGATGATTCTTTGCTTCTTCATTGAATAATAATTACCCATATTTTATCCAGCAAATCGTTGAGAAAATAAAAAGGATCCATGAAATTAAGAACTATCTTGGACGCAGCAGGCCAGAAATTAACACTTTCGGCATTTGGGAAATACCAATGCATAAGAAAATTGCCACTCCAAAACCTTTTCTGCTAAACGAAAGCTAGTCTTCAACTGAACAGTGGGAGTATGTGAATTTTCCTTCAAATAATTACTCTTTTCCTCAATGGGCAACTCAAAGAATTTATGCAAAGGGATTGATGGGTTCGTCTTGTTTCAGTCTTTAAGTTTCGGGATTTCTTTTTTAAAATCTCTGTTGATTGAAGATCTATTTGCTTAAGATGTTTTTTGTTCAAAAATTTTTGTGCTTTTGTGTTTGTATTATACCTGTTGAATTGTGAGTGATATCTGATGAGATGATGAGTTTCACCCGAAAGATGCTTTTGAGAATGAGTGATATCTGATTCTTTTGTTTCGAAGGGTATGGTGGAGATGACGACTCAGGTTTCATGGTTTTTTCCCCTTGTTTAATCTCTAATTTTGTGATTGGATTTTTATTTTAGTTGATAACTGGTTACAGAGATTAAGTTTTTCTGTTCTATTAATCGGTTAACTAATTAAATATGGTCCGAGTTGGTTGCTTCAGGATTTGGCTTATAAAGGGACACTTGGCAAGATTAGAATGAGTAGGATAGGATGTGAGACAGGGTGTGGCATAGAGGATCCGTTGCGTAATTACAGCCAAGCATTTCTTGCTCTCAGCGAATTGTCCAATACGAATTTCAGACAAAATGACTCGAAAGAAGTTTTCTGTTTTCGGGCACTATTTGTTTTATTAGTGAAAAATGGTCGTTTGACTAAAAAAAAAAAAAAACATTTGGGCGACTCAACTATAGTAAGAAACATGCAATGTTTCATAGCTCGTATAATTTATAAAAAAAAAAGTACACATTTTGGTAAAAAACATATGTATGCATTAGTTGAGCGGTCACTTTGACTAAACAAAGTGATGAATGATCAAAACATGTCTGAATAGTTTAATAACCATTTGCTCAATTCCTCAAACTTATATGGATAATGAACTAAAAACATCTTATACTACTTTTAGCCATTAAAATTCTTAGGAGAATGATGAGCCTGTTTGGTAAACAAATTTTGGGCTAAGTTTGTCCGTTGTAAGTTTATGACAACTTTAACTATATAAATTTTAAAGAACATCTCAAAAATTTTAAACTATATATTTCAAAATATATAAAAATTTATACATTTTTAAAAAAAATTTCTACAACTTCTACAGTAAGTTACAATAAAATTTTAGACAAACATCAAAAAAATTCATTTGCCGAATGAAGCCAATATCTAGTACAAACTCCTAACCGATAGAACCTTACCGCTGTTTATTTCATTAAATGACTGAATCATCCTTCATTTCATTCGCAGTATACCATTTGTTATTTTTAAACTCCAATTAATCCACTTAAACTTCTAAATCATGTGAATCTTTCCAGATTAGCTGGAAATACTCCATCGGCCCTATTCCCTTGTCACCATCTCTCCACTAAAGCACCTAACGACAACAATAGCCTTCCTAATCTGCACGTATTTTCGAGGCAAATTATTCACGGTGTAAGGCTCAATTATATACAACATGAATTTTGGACGTCTTCATCTAAAGCACTAGAAGGCATCAATTTGAGTGCTTGAGTATAGAAGGGAGGAGGTTTAAAGCTCTATTTGTTTTGTGCTTAAGTTAAAAGGGAAATCTAGCTAGAAGCAAACTACTCCACTAATTTGAGAGAAAAATACAATTTCTGTTAATTAACAAGTTGATTTAATTGTCCCTCGGTACATTTAACCAAGAAAGAAAGAAAAAACAAACTGTCAAGACAACAAGATTTAAACCCCCCCCCCCCACCCCTTTCCCCAAAAAAAAAAAAAAAGAGTAAGTAAGTAAACTGTCAATATTACATCAGTTTTAAAAGTAAAGAATCTAACAAAAATTTAGTGGTCAAAATATTAAACTTTAATGATTT